CCGCACGGGCTGGCGGCCACTTCCGGACCCGCGGCCTGACGCGGCGAGCTGAACTACAAACCCCAGAAGCCTCCGCGGGCCCGTCGCGCTCCCCCTCCGCCCTCCGCCCTCCGCCCACCAGCCGGCGAGAGCAGTTACTGACGCTGCCCAGCCACGACCTCCCCGCAGGGCACGGCCTTAGCCTTCGGCGCCTGTTCACCGCGGGCTGGCCCCCTGGGACTACAATTCCCAGAAGGCACTGCGGCGCGCCTTCCCATACTCCTGTGGGAGGGTTGCCTGGGAAACAGCCAGACGCCGAAAGCCTGAGGGGGCGGGGCCAGGCTGGAAGGAGGAGTCGGTTCCCTCTCCCTGGTAACAGTCCCGCCGCGGGCCTGCCTGTTCCGCTCCCCTGCGTGCGCACCGGGTGGGGGTGGGGGTGGGTAGGGGTCCGTCTCCGCGTGGCAACGCTTAACGCCTGTTTACTAGCAGCGTGGGGTCACAGTAACCAAGCAACCGCTACCCCAAACCAGCCAAGCGCCATTGCCGAGCCCGCAGTCCCCTCCGCCGCCACACAGGGGCAGCACCCGCGTTGCTCTGCGCACGTGTGCGGCTCGTCCCGCGCATAGTGGGTCTGCAGCGCCGCGAGCCGCGGGACGTCCTGGCGCGCCATCTAGTGGCCGAACGGGGCGCGTCTTGCCGGGGCGCCGCCTCGTGGCCATGCCGCGCAATTGCACGACCCAGGGCCACTGCGAAGGAGGTGCAAGGAAGGAGGTGCAAGGTGAGTTGCCGGCGACTGGAAACCACCCCGACCCTCCGCACCGTGGGGCTCCTATGGGGTGCAGGCCGGCATCCCCCTAGGAAATCCCAATTCCTGTCTCTGGTCTCACAGATGGGAACGAGTCAAAGTCCCAAGCAGTAAGCTGGGGCCACATAAGGGCCCATCACGTTATGACGCCCTACCCTCGGTCTCACGTGCGGATGAGGCTGGTAGGGGTTTTATGGGGCAGTTTGGATCGAGGTGTGCCCCGATGTTCAGTTAGGTGTTCATGGACCCCGAGGGCAGAACACAGGGTGGAGGGACCCCTTTGCAGGACAGCAGGGGCCCCACTCTTGCCCACCTGTCTATGCAGGCGTTTTTTTTCTTACATTGTGTCTGCAGGCGTCACAGCCAGCGGCCCCGGCCTGGGTCGGCTCCTGTCGGCCAGAGCGTCACCTTCCCCGGCCCGCGTTTGTGTGCAGCCCTGCCTCTTGGTGAGAGTGCTGCAGACACTCCTCAGCGGCCTCCCGGGCCTGCTGCACCGCACACCTCTCCTCCGCTGTTCCTCTGGCCTGTCTGGAGGAGGCTAGTGCTGAAATTGGTAGAGGGAGGTGGAGGGTCTCCGGAGCAGGCCGACATGTTCCCATCCTGCGGCCTGAGGACAGGCAGGCAGGGGAGAGCATATGCTCCAGGGCCCACGTGTGGCCCGAGGCTGCGCCCAGCGTCCTGGGGGCACAGGGCAGGTGGGGACGCGGAGCGGATGGGGGCTCAGCCTGTTCTGAACCACTACAACAGCGAAGGCCTCGAGACACGTGAATGTTTGGTGGCTTTATCTAGCCACAGCCGTCTCTGCCCAGCTATGGGAATTTCTACCCCTCTGTTCTGTTCACCCACCCACTCATCCCGTCTGTCTGCCTACCTGCCCACCTGCCTATCTCTCTAATCACCTGTCTGTCCGCCTGCCTACTTGTCACCTACCTACTTACCCCTCCACCCACCTCGACCCCGCACCTCTGCGGGGCTTACTGACACCCATCCCTCCCGCACACCTGAAAACTCCACGTAGTTCCGACTCCCCCAAAGCTGCGCTCGCTGCCAGCTGAGGACTGGACGCCTGGCCTGAACAGTGAGTGAGCACATGTTTTGTTTTGTGGATTATTGGCTGTAGTCTTGAAACTGAGCGAGTACAGGCCAGACTGTTAAGAAAACCACAGAAGATCCGTCTACTGAGCCAGCCTGTATCTGTCCACACGGGGAAGCCACAAGAGGATCTGCCTGAGTGGACCTGCAAAAGGCACAGCCGCGGGGGGCCCAGAGTCAGCTGTAACCATGGACACGCACAACGCACTCAACGCGCACGCGCGGTGCTGTAGGCCCCTGGGAAATGTAGTCTGGGCGCGCAGGCCGCGCAAAGGACCCTGGGGCACCTCGTTGACTGCGGACGCCGCGAGCCCACGTTGCCCCTCTCGCGGCCCCGCTCCCTCGGCTCGCCGCCCCCGCCCCCGCCCCGGGCGCACTCACCCGTAGCCGGCCAGGAAGCCCAGGCTGGGCGGGCTGACCTTGTCGCTGAAGATGACCATGGGCAGCAGGTTGCAGCCGGCCTGGCAGTCCTGCAGCTCGATAACCCACCACTCGAGGAAGCCAGCGGCCCCTGAGCCCACGCGCTCCCTCCGCAGCTGGACGCGCACCCCCAGGTAG